ATTTCAAAACGTTACTATAATGTTAAAATAACCATGGACATAATGGCACAGGCATAAGAACAGACATATTGATCAAAAAGAATAGAATTGAGATCCAGAACAAACTCTCACATTCATGGTCAATTATTTTTAACAGGGTACTAAGATAATTCAAGAAGAAAAAATATATAGTCTTTTCAACAATGTACAGGAAAACTGGATATCCATAGGCAAAAGAATGAATGTAGACCATATACAAATATTAAAAATCAACCAAAATGGATCAAAGACATTAAATGTTAAGGAAATTGAAACTACAAACCCTTATTAGAACAACAGAGGTTGGGCTGGCAGTGGTTGCCGGCAAGCAGGGAGGGCCCTGAGTTCAAAAACCCCAGTGCTGCCAAAAAAAAAAGAAAAAGAAAACAGAGGAGTAAATCTTCATGATCCTGATTAGGAACAGTTTCTTAGATAGGGACATCAAAAGCACAAGCAACAAAAGAAAAAATGACAAATTGGAGTATGTAAAAATTAGGGGCTAAGAATGTTGCTCGGTTAGAACACTGCCTAAAATGCACAAGGCCCTAGTTTGATCCCCAGCACACCAAAAAAATTTCAAGGGATACCCTCAAGAAAGTGAAAAGACAATCCACGGAATGGGGAAAAGGTATTTGGAAATCATATATCTGGTAAGGGACTTGTATACAAACTGTACAAAGAACTCTTACAACTCAAAAAATAAAAAACATAATTCAATTTAAGACATGGACAAAGGATCTGAATAGACACTTCTCTGAAGAAAATATAACATATGCCCAAATACGTACATGGAAAGATGCACGACATTATTAGTCATTATTGAGATACACAGAAAAATCCTGATGAGATACCACTTCACACCCACTAAGATGGCAAAATCAATCAGATAATAAACCACCATATACTGCTAGGGGGACAAGAAACTATGGAAAACAATCCAGCAGCTCCTCAAAGTATTTATCCTTTTGTTTACATAGATATCATATGACCCAGCAATTTCACTCTCAGGTATATAGCCAAGAGAAATAGTATATGCCCATGCAAAAACTTGTACACAAATATTCATAGCAGCATTACTTACTATAACCCAAAGGTAAATAGCCCAAATGTTCATCAACTGGTTGAGTAAAAATAAAATATTTGTATAGCCACATCATGGATATTATTGCGTAAAGGAATGAAGTAATGCTACGTGCTACTAAACATATAAACCTTTAAAAAATTATGCCAAGGACTCGGGATGTAGCACAGTTAACTCAGTGGTACAGACCTGCCTAGCATGCACAAGGTATACATATATACATATGCATTACACTTAAATGTATTACTCATATATATTAGTCATATAACTAATATATATGACTAAGTGAAAGAAAGCTAGTCATAAAATAGCACATATTGTATGATTCCATTTATGGGAAGCATATAGAAAGTGAAAAAGACAGTGAAAGTAGATTCATCGCTGTATAGGGATGGGGCTTAAAGTTTCTTGAGGGGGAAGATAAATGAAATGCTTTTAAGTTAATTGTGATAATCGTACAACTTTGTGAATAAACTATATCAAAGAATTATGCATTTTAAATAGGGACTGTGTAGAATGTGAATTATAGCTCAATAAACTCTTTAAAAAGAAAGTTCAAATAATATTTTAGGATTATTTTATAAAAGTATATCTTGAGCAGGATACCTGGGAGTTTCCAGAGGTATCTGCATACTCCAGCAAAGCCCCTTCTACCAATGTAATCACACGAGAAATTCCAACATGATCCTCTGACTTCCTCTTTACTTCTATAACTTTTATGCTTCCCTTATTCAGGCAGTTACTTCAACACTGAGCAATGGCCTGTTTTCTTGCCCCTAATCCCCACCACACAGTGAGCAACTTGAGGGCATTCGTCTTGTTCACTGGTGTATCCCCAGCATCTAGCACAATGGCTGGCACAAAGTAGCTACTCAAAGAAATGAATAAATCTTAATGTACTTCAAGGTCACAAAGAGCTGAGGCAATGTCAGGCCAGATGCAGAGACAAGGGAAGCTGAGGTGATAAGGATACAGAATCACCTATTATATTTCTATGCTGTTAAAGGTAGCCTACACACTATCACCAACTCAAACCAAAAAGTAAAGAATACTTACTGGGCTCTGTGGCAAGAGACTGCTACTAGTCTCTTGAGTACTAGGAGGTCGACTTCCACTTTCCTCCAGTGGCAAAATACCCCTTCGATCCAGCACACTGAAGGAAGCAGGAGAGTTATCAAGGAATTAGCACTGGCTTTCACCCCTACATCCGCCCAGCCCACCGAACCTTGCCGTGTACATTGGAAAACATAAACATGTCCTTTGGCAATCTAGCCTGATCCTAGCATACATCTCCTATCTTCCATTCACTTTTTTCTTCCACAAACCAGTGAATGTCACATTAGCCCAGGGAAACAAACGAATGAAATAAAAAACCAGCCCATGGTCTATGGTCCATGTAGCAAGGTACCATGCAACAATCCCTAGGAAGACCTATTTGACACTACAAGGCCCCACTCAGAAGAACACCTCAGACCAGGTAACAGGATGGCGTTGCATTGTTCATCTTAAGAGTCTCAGTTTATAATTTCTTGAGTACCTGGGGGGCAAGGGACCACACAGCACTTCACAGCAGTTCTTCACATATTGCCATGGCTATAGGGATTCTGGACACGATTCTTCCCTGTCCATGATCCTTTGATCTGCAAGATGAAAGCCAAGGCTTGCATTATAAAATTATGCTGAAGAAATACATGTACCATGGGATAATGAGAAAAGTGAGGAAGTGGATAGTGATGGCAATGATTGTACAACAATGTGAATTTATTAAATGTCACTTAACTGTACATTTTAAAATAGTTAAGATGAGCCAGGCACTGGTGACTCATGCTATAATCCTACCTACTCAGGAGGCAGAGATCAGAAGGAGCTCAGTTTAAGGGCCAGCCTAGGCAAATAGTTCATAAGTCCCTATCTCAAAAATATCCAACACTAAAAAGGGCTGGTGGAATGTCAAGTGGTAGAGCATCTGCCTAGAAAGCATGAGACCCTGAGTTCAAACCACAATACCATCAAAACAAAAAATGGCTAAGACTGTATATCTTATGTTGTATATATTTTATCACAATAAAAAAAAATAAATATATTTCATGTATGGACAGAAAAAAATGCTTAAAAGAGGGAGAGAAAAAGAAGATAAATTAATATTCATTATTTTTACTTAAGAATACACAGTGGCCAGGCACCAGTGGTTCATGTCCATAATTCTAGCTACTCAGGAAGCAGCGATCAGGAGAATCGCAGTTTGAAGCCAGCCCAGGGCAAATAGTTCTGGAAACCCTATCTCAAAAAAGCCCATCACAAAAAAGGGCTGGCTAAGTGGCTCAAGTGGTTAGAGTGGCCTGCCTAGCAAGTATGAGGCCCTGAGTCCAAATCCCAGTGTCACACACACAAAAAATACAAACCTTATAGTGAATCAGCTGAGGTACCCAACAATCAATGAATGGATAAAGAAAATATGGTATATGTGTATGTGTGTGTACATATGTATATACATATATGTGTGCATTTTTATGTATTATATATGCAACAGATAATATATTCACACACCATGGAATATTACTCAACCATAAAGAAAAATGACATTATGTCATTTGTGGAAAATGGATAGAACTAGAGATCATCACTAGAGAGCAACATAAGCCAAGCTCAAAAGGCCATATATTACATGACTTCATTCATTTGTGGAACCTAGAACTAAAATGATAATTACTATAATAATTGGACATGAATGCACATGGGAGACTGGGGGGATCAGTGGGAGGGGGAAGGAAAGGATACTGAGGAGTGAAGAGGATGGAAGTACACTGCATATATACACATGAAAACAACACAATGGCACCCACCAAATACTGAAAGAGGAGGACAAAGGTGATGAAGAATGGGAATAATGGTGAACTTATTCAAGGTACACTGTACACATGTATGGAATTATTATAATGAAATCCTCTCATATTATCAAAACATGATAAATCAAATATAAAAAATATTATTCTCAAATAAATAAGTAAAAATATATAGTATTTACATAAACATAAGAACAAGTCTAGATAAGTCCAGAAGACTATAAATTACACCATTAAAAAAGGTAATATCTAGAAGACAAAATTACAGGGATTTATTTTCTCTATTTTGCTCATCTGTATCTTCGGATTTTCTACAAAGAATGTGTATTAATTGGTAACCTTACAAAAGCAAGGATTTATCCAGTGCAGTCATCCTTCTCCATTCCATATCCAGAAGTATTAACTAGCCATTTTTTTTGGAGGGGGGCATTGAGACAGGGTCTTACTGTGTAGCCCAGGCTGGCCTCAAATTTGAACGCAACCATCATCCTGCCTCAACCTCCCAATTACTGTGATTATAGGCATGCACCACCATGTCAGGCCTTCAACTAGCTTTTAAGGACCTATGAAAAGTTAAAGATCTTGTGCCCACCCAACTTTTCAACTATTTCCTAAGCCCTACAGGCATTCAGCTCCAAACAAAACAGTCTTCCTTCCTTTCCACACATCTGATTTAATAATTTCCCACCTCAAGTTTCTGCTTGCCTCAACCTTCCATGCCCTGGAGACTTGGGTTCTCTAGCAGGTAACAAGAGAATAGCCTTTAGAGAAAAGAGTATGTGGTGAGGAGAAGAGAAAGTTGACTTACGTCTTCATTGGTTGTCTGGTTGAGAGCCACGAGGAAAGTGTGAAATCCAGTCAGTCCACAACAGACCAGAGTGTGAAGAAGCAAATGAGGACTTCTAAAACAGTGAAGTTAGGTTAAGGGAACATTGACCAGGAGACTTGATGCCTCAGTTCATCAAATCACACCACCTTTACCTCTAGGATCAAGTATCACAAAAAGTCAAATATTCATATATAGCAAATTCTAAATTCACTGGATAGATCTTTTTTGAAAAATAAAGGATTTCTGTTTATTCACTATGAAATAAATTTCTAGCATCTCTAGTGTACTTAAGAGTTTGCCTATTTATTCATGATTGGTTCTTTGAAGGAGATGTTCAGGAAGGGGCCAAAGCTAAACAACGTTGGACACCACTGCCAATGGAAAATCCCATCAAAAAATAAACTTTATAAACAAAAAATTAGTGGGAAAGAAACAGGATGTGTTTTTACAAATCTCTTCTAAATCTCCACTCCAGAAATGCAACCAATGTACAAAATAAGACTTAGCTGTAATGGGAAGGTGGGCCTTCCAGTAAATGACACACTATGTATACTGAGGCAAGTACAGCCCATTTAAGGAGACAGGGTTGAGCCTGAAAGAAAGACTTGAAGGGAGATAGCAGGACTTGGGGGTAGGAAGCCAAGAAGGGGCAAGGGAACGACCTCCCTTTAAGCCCTGGCCATCTTCCAGCCTGGTTGCTACCGCTAAAGACTATAGTTCATAATTTTAGGCTTTGGCACAATCTGATGTCTGCAAAACTAGTGGGAGAACTGCAGGAAGAAAACATGCTGGAATGTAGTGTAAGAAGCCTTCACAAGGACATACTGCCAGGGAAGGATATGTTCCAGGAGTTTCTTTCAACGTCTCCAGGAAGCCAATTTTCAAGGATTCTGTGAAATTAGGAGGAGGAGTAGAGAGAAAAATTAGTGACTTTGTCAAAACTATAAAGCACCCAGTGCCTACTCACTTCCTTCCCTATCCTGTGCTACACACTGGCAAGACAGAAGTTCTCACTGGGGTAAGAGTGAAGAGTCTCACTTCTGTGTTGGCAGTCTCATGACTGAGTTCACATTTCTATCTTTTTTGAGGGGGCAGTACTGGGGTTTGAACTCAGGTCCTCATGCTTGCTAAACAGGCACTCTTGGCACTTGAGCCACCTGCCATTCCAAGCACTGGACTAGAGTTGTACAGAAGCCAAGCACTGTGTCCCCTTCTTTTCTCAGCCCCCAAATATGGATACGTAGGGGATAGTAATAGATGAAAGAAACCAAAAAAGTCCAGAAAAATTCTCTCTCCTTACTTATCTGTGTCTCTCCCTTGTGCCAAATCCAGCTCAGAGCTCCTCTTTCCAGGAAGCTATCTTGATCAAGACACTCTCTTTACTCCACACCCCACCTACCCTTACCTTGTTTATATGTGTATGTAATATGTGTACATACACACACGTAAGTGTGTATTTCCTATCTCTCAAGTAGACCATGAGCTACTAAAAGGCATCTCTCTGGTAAAACCCCTTCTACCACCTAACTCAAGGTAGGTCTTACAAGGCAGAAGAGGAAAGGATGTGAAGAGGCAAAATACATCCCCAACTTTTGATCCTTCAGAAATGTCCAGTTTCTGGATGCAAATTATTAGTTATGACTCCAGTTCCCAGCAGAGGGCCAGAGAGAAGGCCAATACACTCAGAATATACCTACTGATGTGAGCTGAGGTTTATAGCTCAGCTTACCCCCAAGAATAGTGCTCATTTCTAACTGATCCAGAGCTGTCTTCCTAATGGCAAAGTCCCACCAGAAACCCAAGCACCCCCCTAGTCTGCCCTCAAGTCTTCCCCCATCCCACCCCATTTCAACAACAGACACTGCCCTGTATACTCACTGAGAGCCACATAGACGATGTTGAAGGCGAAGACATAAATTGTGAGGAGGGAGAGAGAAAGAATGAAGAGGTAGAAGTAGCGGTAGTTCCTCTTTCCAACACAATTTCCCACCCAGGGGCAGTGATGGTCGAAGCGCTCTGTCGGAGAAAAGAGAGTCCAATGCCAAAGCCTCCACAGTAAGAGCAACCCCACCATCCACATAACTAATTCAAAAAAGACCCTAGGGTCATCACCTACTTCAGTTGTGTAAAACATAATTGCTGGGCTGACGGAGTGGCTCAAGTGGTGGAGTGCCTGCTTAGCAAGCATAAGGCCCTGAGTTCAAACCCCAGTATGGCCAAAAAAGAAATCATAATTGCTATTCTTTACTTTTTCAAAATGTTTTCATAGCCATATCATTTGATCCTCGCAATAATCTTGGAAGTTAGGCAAAAGGATATGCTCTTTTCCCTATTTTACAGATGAAAAAACTAAGGCTCTGCGAAAAAACTATGATCTGCCTTACTTTGCCAGTTAAGAGCAAAGGCATTGGCTTTCCAAACTAAAACCTTAGCTGGGCTGGGGGCACTACTCAAGTGGTAGAGTACTTGCTTAGCAAGCGCAAGGCCCTAAATTCAAATCCCAATACTGCAAAAAAAAAAAAAGCAGGTGGGCCTACTCAGTTCAGGAAGAATAATAAACAGGTGAAAATAGTCCAAAAAATTGAAAATTGAGTAGCATGATTTTATTTGACCTCCTTATTAAAAATATAAATCTGTAATATTCTTTTTAACTTTTGTCAGAGTCTACTACATAGCCCAGGCTGTCCTCAAACTCACTGTATAACCCAGAGTGGTCTTGAACTCGCAATCCCCCCGCCTCAGCCTTCCAAATACTGGGATTACAGCCATGAACCACCACACTCAGCCCTCTATAAAATCTACAATATTCTTAAATGGTATGGCATAATTCAATGAAATAGAAAGAGCACAGAAACTGACTCTAGAACATATAAGAATTTACAGTTTAATAAATATGACATTATGAAAAGAAGTACAATTTCATGAACAATTCTGAGACAATTGGCTAATTGGTAGAAAATAAGGTTACATTGTTTTCCTCACACTATTTGTCCAACAAATTCCAGATAGATTTAAGAGTTATAGGCAAAAAAATTGAAATGACAAAATAATTTAAGAAATAGATATACATTTTCCTCTATATGGAGAAGAACTTTCTAAGCACAAAAGTCATGGAAGAAAACAGAGAACAAAAAAATAGATCTGATTCCATGATCTTTAAAAATGTATTCCCCAGGTCAGATGTGGTGGTGCACGCATGTAATTCTAGCTACGAGGGAGGTGTAAGTAGAAGGATCATGGTCCAAGGCCAACTCCCAGAAAAAGTGAGACCCTACCTAAAAAACAAACTAAAGCAAAAAATAGCTACAAGTGTGGCTCAAATGGTAGAGTGCTCACCTAGTAAGTGAAAGGCCCTGAATTTAAACCCCAGTACCACCAAAAAAATGATTTTTTTGTATGTTAAAAATACTACAAAGAGGCATCTTGGTGCTTAGCACAGGCTGTGTTCTTACATTGACTGTATTCAAAGAGAAGGCAAAGTAAACCTACCCCATATACACCTCAGCCCAGGCCCTGTGCCGAGTCTGTGTTGTGAATGGGGAGACATGGGGAAAAAAATACTACAAAGAAAATTAAAGAGAAAAAAGGTAATGTATATAAATTTGTACCTGATCATATGAGAAGTCCTTATAAATTTTACAAATAAAATATATATACTTCCTCAAGAAAATTATCAAAGGTTACCTGAAATTTACTGAGAGTAGATTTTAAGTGTCCTCAGAAATTTAAAGTTTAGTAATTTTTACTTTATGTGTTATATATGTAACATATAATTTGCTATTTCAAGTCTACAGTTCAGTGATATAAGTTGCACAGTATTGTGCAACCATCATCATTATCTAATTCCAACACTATTTTTACTAACCCAGATAGAAATTCTTTGCTCATTAAGCAACAATTCTCCACTCTCCTTCTTCCATACCCTGGCAACCTCTAATCTTCTGTCTGTTTTAATTTACCTATTCTAGACATTTATATCAATGAAATAATACAATATCTATTCTTATGTGTATGGCTTCTTTCACATAGCATGTGTTCAAGTTTCATACATATTGCAGCATGTGTCAGTATTTCATTCTTTTTATGAATGAATAATATTCCATTGTGTGGATATACCACATTTTTTAATCCATTCATTTGTTGATGGGCACTTGGGTTATTTCTACCTTTTGGCTATTATGAACAATGATGCCATGTACATCTGTGTATGAACATGTTTTGAATCCTTGTTTTCTAATTGTTTGGGGCTGAATTATGTACTGTACTTGAATTATGTATGCTGTACTTGGAAAAAAGACCTTTAAGGAGATTATTAAGATTAACTGAGGTTATAAGGGTGGGGCCCTAATCCAGTAAGACTGGTGTCCTCATAAAGAAGAGACACCAGGAGTGTGTGAGTGTGTGAAGACACTGCAAAAGGAAATCATCTTCAAGCCAGAGAGGGGCCTCATTAGAAACTAACCCTGTTGGCACCTTGATCTTATACTTCCTAGCCTCCACAAACTGTGAGAAAATAAATTGCTGTTGATTAAGCCACCCAGTCCCATAGTATCTTGTGGCAGTAGCCTGAGAAGACAAAAAATGCTTTTTCCATAGCCTATTATATAAAGTCCATAATTTATTTGCCCACTCATCTATTGGTGGACTATTAAGTTCTTTTCAATTTTTCATTCTCATCATAATATTGAAGTAAACATTTCCATCCCTAAATATTTTTGTTTATTTTGGTTTGGATTTTTTTTGGGAGGGGGGGCAGCACTAGGGTTTGAACTCAGAGCTTTGTGCTTGCCAGGCAGGCACTCTTTACTGTTTGAGCCATTCCACCAACCCTAAACCTTTTACCATATTTAATTTCTTCTCTTTTTTTTGGAGAGGGAGTTGAGACAGGGTCTCACTATGTAGCCCAGGCTGGCCTCCAACTCACAACTAGCAATCCTCCTGCCTCAGCCTCCAGAGTTCTGGGATTACAGGGATGAATCATCATGCCCAATGTCACATCTCTGATTTCTTAAGATAGAGTCCCAAAAAAGGAGTCACTGGCATCAAAAGGTATACATGTTTTAAGGCTTTTAATGAACCTTATTATTATGTTGTCATCCCAAAAGTTTCTCCCAATCAACATTCCTACCAGTACAGAGCTAAGCATTATCAGGTTTTCCTTGCTAATTTTGTAGACTTAAAAAAAGTATCCTGTTTTAATACTTCTTTCTTTGATTAGTAGGGATGAATATTTCTTTCTGCTAATTAGACAACTGTATTTCCTATTCTATGAATTGTCCACACACACTGTCCATATTTCTAGTAGAATGTTAATGCTTTTAAGAAAAAAATCTATTTGTATGAGTTCTTTAAATTTAAGACTATTAATAAGGAGAAGGAATTCTTTGAGGAACCTTCACATCAGACCTCTAAATATTGTTTCCTGGTCCATTAACAATGAATTTTGATTTATAAAATTCTACCTTTATATAGTTTCGACTATATAAAGTAAGATACATCTTCCCCTAGTAAGAGGAAAGCAAGGACTTCAGACAGGCTATATAGCATACAGAATGTTAGAATTATATCCAAAGGTAGTATCAGCAATGTCACACAAATGCCTAGCAAGAAGCATATTTACTATCAGTGTCTCATCTTCCCAGGGTTCAGCCCACAGTAGGGAGTGTGTATAATGAAGCTACATATATGTGGATGGCAGCACAGGCCTATGTATTCTGCACACCTACACCAGCCATGCTTGGAGCATTAGCAAGAGGCAGAAAACTGAGGACTTTGACATCAGACCTGTTCCAGTATCATCTCATGCTAATTACACGAACTTATACAAAGGTGCTTCATTATTTCCTCATCTGTAAAATGGGGATAATACTTATTTCAGGGGGTTGGTCCAAGTCTTAAATGAGAGAAAGGGAAGGTGCTTAGCACAGTGCCTACCTAGTATGTAGTAGGAACTCAGTAAATGCTAGCACCTTTCTTTCCTCCTCTTGGGAACACTACTTCTAACATAGGCCTTCCTTCCTCAATACTGCCCTCCAGTGGACTAGGACACTCCTCCCCCTATGTAAGGTGGGCCCCCACATGACATGGATCCAACAGAGAAAAATTTCAAAAACATGGCTGGCTGGTACAGTGGCTCAAGTGTTAAGAGCACCTGCCTAGCAAGCATGAAGCCCTGAGTTTAAACCCCAGTGCTTCCAAAAAAAGTGTGAAGTTTAAAGCTTAGTTTCTCATTTACCAAAGGAGGCTGTTTTTTTAAACTTTTTAATTTTAGGCTATTTAAATTATGATTTGATCTACACAAGTACAGTTGATATGCTGTTGTTCAGAAACTTCTTTTCTTCCAAATCTAGCTTGTTAACCACCTGAATCTCACCTCCATTGACTTTTCCCAAGAATTGGTGACAACCCTGACCTGCTTGTTCAATTCAGCTTTTTCCTTAGCAAGGTCCCTTTGATTTTACTCACCCACACAGTTGTCACAGATGCTGCAATGGGAGGCCCGGGGAGGCCGGAAGATCTTGCATGTATAACAGTATTTCAGTTTCACAATCTGGTTGTTTATCTGGAAATTCTTGATACGAGGGGGTGGTCGCTGGCCCTGAGGCACTGCACCATTGGTAGCTTCTGTAAATCAATAAAGACATTTTGTTCACAGCTAGCCATTATTTGAGCCCAAAGTTTCACCACCTCTCCAGAAGCAACGGGGGTCATCAAAGATTCCCCATGCTCACTGTCTTCTCCAGGTGAACATTTCCAGACTAGAATTTCTACTTTACACGGTGTCTCCCAAAATTCCAGAGTGCCATGCAATTCTGTTATGTACACGTGAAAGTGTTTCTTCAAAGTTTGTTGTCTGATCACAAAGAACAGCATTCAAACATGCCAAACTATAATAAAACACTAACTTCGTTAATAATCAAAGAAACAAAATTGAAGCACAAAGGTACCATTTTACTTATTATATTCACAAGTATTAAAAAGAATAAAAATACCCAGTATAGGCAAAGATGGGAAAAGGTCATTCTTATACCCTTACCAATCAACAATATGGCAGCAGCTACTAAAATTTTAAATGTCTGTACTCTATGACCAAGTAATTCTACTACTAGTGGCTTATCAAAATTACAAAGATAGGGCTGGGGACTTGATTCAAGTGGTAGAGCACCTGCCTAGCAAGTGTGAGGCCCTAACTTCATACACCAGTACCACCAAAAAAATCTTACAAAGGTAAATGCAAAAGATGGTTATAGAAGGATATCTGTCACAGAGTTTCTTTTAATGATGAAAAACTAAAAGTAACTTCACTGTCACAACAGGAACTTGGTTAAGTAAATTATAATACATACAGAATGGAATATGACACAGTCATTTAAAATGATATAGGAAAATACAATTAGAATGCACTGCAAAATGAAAATGAGTATGTGTAAGAGGACAATAACTTGAAAAAATAAAATATATGCATCAAAATACTTAGAAAATAATTAGTAAAATAAGATATAAATAATTCATGTTTGCTGTAAAAAATTTAGAAAAAATAAGAGCTGGAGGTGTGGCTCAAGGGGTAGAGTGTCTGCCTAGTAAGCGTGAAGCTCTGAGTTCAAATCCCAGTACCACCAAAAAATAAAATTGGAAAAATAGAAAAGATAAACAAGAAAAGATAAAAAATCACTACAGACTCTCACCTCAGAGATAGTCATACATTTTGGTGTATTGTCTTCTAATCTTCTCAACAGATAAACATTCATTACTTAAAAAACTGAGATCATATAAATGTAACTTTGTATTATGCATTATTTATTTAACATTTTACTGTGAACACTCACCCATAGTTTTTACTGTTTTCTAAAATACTATTTTAGCAATATTCCATGATCTGCATATACCGTGATTTATTTAACCATTCCATATTGTTAGTCATTTAAGTTACCTCAAGTTTTTTATTATTTTAATGATGCTGGGGTTGAAGGCATAGCTCACATGACAGAGCACGGTCCTGAGTTCAAACACCAGTACTGCCAAAACCCAAGAATTAAATGATATTGCATGCAAAAACTTAACACATTATAAACAAAAGCTTAGATTCCCCTTTGATCACTCAATCTCAGTCCCTCTTCCCTTCCCCAAGAATATATTCATGTGTAAAAATTAATTTTTGAAACTGAAAGACAAGCATGGTGAAGTCTTAGAGTAATATATGAAGTTGCTAACATTAAAATAGCTATATTTGTATTAAAAAGACAAAATGATACACTAAAAATTCTTCTACAGTAATTTGTTTTAACTGTTTGATTATTTCTTTTAGCTAAATCCTTAAAAAAAAACTCCCATTTACTAGGTCAGAGGGTAATGAACCCTTAAAGTCCATGAGGGTTTAAGGATTTAGCAATAGCCAAACTGCTTCCCAGACAGATTGTATGAATTTGCATGCCTGCCCATCCACAGCTTATGAGACTGTCATCTCATTGCACCCTCGCCATGCAATATAATTCTAAAAACAGAACGTTTTTCGATTCACTTTGATTTTAAAAATATCTGCCATATGGAACATTTTTCCTTTTTTGCAGAGTGGGGTAGCTGCTGTGAAATCAAACAATAACAGTGTGTCACAAGTCTTAAGAGGATGGCGATAGCTATTCATTAGAGAATGATAAGATGTAAGTACCATCATGCCACCTTAATATTCTTTGTATATGCTTTATATTAGGGCACATGTGAAACACAAGTTCATAGTTCACTCCCCAGCACAGAGGTACTATGAGGCAAGGAAACACATGACTTTTCTCTACCACCCCTTTACAACGTATCAAATACAGGGATGAATATAAGCTGACAAAAACTTGCTCACATAAATATGCATATCAACTCAAGAGCACACTCATTAGCAGGGTGCTGGTAGCTCATGCCTATGATCCCAGCTACTTGGGAGGCTATGATGGGGAGGATCATGGCTCTGGGCTAGGCCAGGTGAAAAAGTTTACAAGACCCCATCTCAATGGAAAACAGCTGGGCATGGTGGTACAAGCCTACCATTCCAGCAACTGTGAGAAAACTAACATAGGAGGATTGTGATCCAGGCAGGCCTGGGCAAAAAGTGAGCCCCCATCTCCAAAATAGCAGAACAAAAAGGGCTGGAGGCATGGCTCAAGTGGTAGAGCACCTGCCGTGTGAGTGCAAGGTCCTGAGTCCAAACCCCAGTACCGCCTCCCCAAAATACTCTTCTATGGAGAACAGCATACTAAATGCAGAGGTCACAATATGACAGCTTGAGTCTGGGCCACAGGCTCAGTGATAGGGCAAAAAGCAGCTAACCTTGTTGACAACCTGCTGTGAGATACTATAGACAAGTCAAGGTACTGCCTTGACCCTCAGTTTTTCCATGTGTGAATGGAAAGGGGTCTATAAGAGAGTAATTCTGATGAAGAAAACATAGCACTCACAACTCTCCCTTACTATGTTGCTCTCCCCAGGACTCCAGCTGTGCCCTTACAGCTGCTTTCTCCCCACTATTCCCACCTTCACCCCATCCCTATGCAGTTTTGGCTCACTTGTGTGCAAACCAATTTCTCCTTAGCTCAACTAAATCTGGACAAAAAATTTCAAAAAGAAATACACTAAGAAGGTGGGGGGAAACAGAACTAAAATAAACAAAAGAAATACAAAAGCATGGATGCCTTCAAAGCAGCCTGAAAGAACTAAATAGGTAGCCGCAGACTGGCGCTCTACCAACATAGCTTCTCAGACTTACAAGTCACTTTCTTCTACTCTATCTGGATTGGATGCTGACTCAAGTTACTGGGGTGCTAAACTTGAGAACCATTTAGACAAATACTACTGGTGGTCTGGTGGTCTCCTCACTCCCTCCTAGTACTTGTATCATAGACTTCTGTCACACTGTGAGTTCCCAGGATAGCCCTGTGATGTTCTGCTTCAATTTGTAAAGTCATTATGGCTCCAGACAGTGTAGCATTTCAGTCTCTGTCCCAAAGATCCCTACCCTGAGCTGCAGACTGCACAGTACTGAGCTTGAAATCGCCTCCTTTATCGCTCCTAGAATTCTATCGTGGTTTTTCCTTCTTACCCAATATGTTCCCCTAAAGCAGGAATTTTTGGTCAGGTGGCCCATAAATGTACTTCAGAAGATCTTTGAATCCCTGCAATTACATCCAAAATTGTATGTGTGTGCATGCATATACTATTTAATGGGGAAAAGGTTTACAGCTTTCATCAATAAATGTGTGGTGACACCCCCCTCCAAAAAAAGTTTTTTAAAACCATCCTTTTGGGAACAGTGCAGCCAGACCTTGATAACAAATCCTTTCTGCAATACAACCAAACATGGTCATTCATTGTCTTAGATTCAGGATCTCAGAGAGAAAAGGCTAGAATAGTAGGCTGTGAATCTGCAACTACTATTATGATTCCATTTCCTTACCAATAAGAGCCATGCACTACACAGTAGTTTGCCAGCTAGTTGGGAGACTCACCTATCTCCATTTCTATGAAAGCTGCTTCATCTGGTAGGGCCCGAGGAATCACTCCAGGGTCACTGAAACTGGTCCTCAACAAAGTAGCCATGGAGAAAAGGAAGAGCATGGCAGCAAACACAGGGATGGCAGGAGAGAGCTGAACAGCCAGGTAGCGACACCTGAAGAAAGCAAAGCAATTCAACATTTAATTTTACCTGCCCTTTATTGATCTCCAGCTGTTTCAAGTATGTACAGCTGGTCTCCACAACAAAATCAGCAGTAATCAAGGACAGGTACCATGCTATTTACTCCTCTTGATTCCCCAAACACATGCATGGTTCTGCACACAGTACAAGCTCAACACATACTAATTGACTAATGTCACCTATAACATACAAAGATAGCCTCAAGGCCTCCCTTACCCTCCCTCCCCAAGATAACCTATATCTTCTACCTTAGAAAGGGTTTACACCTGCTAAGGACAGGGAAGCAAATGAGCCTGGTTTTGCTAGAACCACAAGTTGCTCTTACTCTGGGAATGTCCAGGGCTTTTCATACCCACTCATCTGGCATTGGGACTAAGCTTGATGAGGAAGAAAGAAGAGAGCGGGGCACTGGTGGCTTATGCCTGTAATCCTAACTACTCAGGAAGCAGAGATCAGGAGGACTGTGGTTCAAAGCCAGCCCAGGCAAATAGTCCATGAGACCCTATCTCGAAAAAACACATCACAAAAAAAAGGTCTGATGGAGTGGCTCAAGGTGTAGGCCCTGAGTTCAAGCCCCAGAACCACCAAAAAAAAAAAAAAAATGGAAGAAAGAAGAGGACCAATCAGGAAGCAGGCCTCATAGTGTCAGATAGAGGGTATCTCTGCATGCTTCCAGACCAATGGAAAGCTTCAGGGCTGCTGAATGATTTTGAACATCCATTCCTCTTGTTTCCTCAATTAGCTCAGCTAGTAGGTGATTAATGACCACCCACAAAGGAATAAGAAGAATGTAGCTCCTTAGAACCCCTTCCCATCGCCATGTTCACTCCCCTTTTTCCTCATAATACACCTATTCCTCTCTAGTTATCCCAACTGTTCTCATCTTTCAGGTCTTGGAGACATCGTTGTTATCACTGAATTACTACCATATATAGAGTGTTACCATAAACCAGGTATTGCACTAAGCTCTTTAAATGCTTTATCCCAGCCAATTCTCACATTGAAGCTACAAGGTAGACTCCCTTTGACAGATGAAAAATCTGAGACTTAGAGAAGTCTTTCCTCCTCCAAAAGGTCTATGCTAAGCAACACACTCCCTCCTCTCTGTATTATTTCTTAGCTCTTTCTCAGTATGTTGATTGAATCTCCCCCAACTGGACTTCATAAGAGCAAGAAACTGGTCTTAATGAACCAGGAATTCTTGGGTTCAAATTCTGGCTCTCCCAGTTCCCAGCAGGATGACTTAGTTAACACCAATCTCCTTATCTGTAAAATGAGGATAATGATAGTACGTTGTGTGGACCAAATGCACTAATATAAAGTACTTGACACACACAGTAAACACTAAGTAAATGTCAGCCTTAACATTATTATCATGATTCTATATTTCCTAGACCCTAATACAAGTAAAGGAACAAAAAAGCTATCAATAAATACTTGTTGATTTGAATTGAGTATCAAACCAAATGAATGGGAATATGTGATGAGAGTTATCACTGACCTATTTTTATCCTTCTCCTGGGGCACATTTCTCCTTGAAAATAGAGAGCTTCACTGGAGGCAGACTATAAGCGGATGAGTAAGGAACAGAAGGAAAGCAGAGAAAGTAAGCTAAGGAAAAAGCTTACCTCATCAGCATGGGGAGTAAGCAAATTGCAGTCTATTCAGGGCAAACGCTTAACCTCGGGTTGTGTATTTGCTGTAATTTTGGAACAACCCCCATGAGATCCTCCCCTGCCTCCCTCCCACATACACAACTGCATGAGGAGATGCAAACCAACTGTTATACTAAGCTAAGCAGTTTGAGAAGAAAGTGAACGTATGTGTTGAACTGCAAGATGATTTTAGTTGCTTTTTTGTTTGCTTGCTTGATTTTAACACAATCCTTGGTCTTAGCTTGCTTTTTAGTGACTTACTTCCTTCTCAAAAACCAATGGTAGGGAAAAAAAATCGAGAACTGAAGGATTTAGCAGCTGAGTTCAGGGTAATTGAGGTTCATGTACATCACTAGCTTATGGATTACCCTCCTTTCCATTGCTCCCCTTGACTGGTACACATAATCAAAATGTAAATTCAGAAATGAAAATCACCACCCCTTATCAGGGACTCCAAAGACACAGAAGAAGCATGGAGCTTTGTTTTATGAACAAGCCAAGTGAAATCACCACACTAACAGCCATCTTTCTAGTGACTGTCCATCTGTAAGATCACCCTTGAAAACAAAGAAGTAATGTCTTCAGGACTCAAACTGCCCTGAGAATACAGTCTCCAATCCAAAGCCTGAAAAAAAAATCAGAGCTATCTGATTACCACCAAGAGGAGTCTGTTTCTTTTTAATTAAAGAACAACATCAAAGAAAAAATTCAAGATTAATGCTGCCCCCTTGCAAGAAAGACCCAAGCTTAACTAAGTCCAGTTCCAACACCTGCTTGTAGACCAGACAAAGAACAACTTAGATTTCAATTATGCTACTCCATCAAGGATAAAGGTCTCTGTAATCTCCACACAGACTTATCTTCTGCACCTGCTAAAAACAATCCACTCTGTATGTCAACAAGTACACAACAGACCTATTGTTACTGTTCTCCTCCAGAGATGAGGCAACTAGCAGCCAATTGTCTCTAGTGAATGGGTGTGGCTAGAAAGGCAGATGTGGGACCAACAGGCCTTTCTACTCAGAAAAAGTGGAAACTTCGAGAGCCAGTGGCTAAGACCATTGTGAACTACAACCCATAGTGTCTGTCTTCTAAGTTACGATTTAAAAGTATCACTAAGCCAGGCATGGCGGTACACACCTGTAGTCTAAGCTACCAGAGCTGAAGCAGGATGATCAACTGAGCTCATGAGTTCAAGACCAACCTGAGCAACACAGAGAAATCCTATCTCAAAAAAATAAATACCCCCACACTTGTCTGTGGACATGGCTCAAGTGGTAAAGTACCTGCCTAGCAAGTGTGAGGCCCTGAGTTCAAACCCCAGTACTGTATATGCGTATGTCTGTGTGTATACATATATATATATGTGTGTGTATATATGTACATATTTAAAACCCATAATGTGGGTAAATTTGGTGATATGGTGGTCAAAAGACACAAAATTTCACTAAGAATAAATTCAAGGGATCCACTGCACACATAGCAGTGACTATAAGTAACAACAATGCATTATATACTGGAAAATTGTTAAAAGTAGTTTTTTATGATTTTATTAGAATATAATAATTGTATAGGGGATACACTGTGTATTTACTTGTGTTTAAAATAAATAATGCACTGTACAGTAAACTGCTTGAATATTAGGGAGCATGGTGATAGAGAATGAGTAGGTAATGGAAGGGAAGGGGTTAATTTGATTAAAGCATGATATGTATATATACACAGACCTGAAGTACAAAGGCAAAAACCCCCTTAGACTATGAATATACACTTCATTTAAAATAAAAAAAAAAGAAAGGTGGGAGGGAAAAGTAGATTTTAAACGCTCTCACCACGAAAAGATAAATGTATGAAATAATGCATATGTTAAATAGCTTCATTTAGCCATTCTACAATGTATATATACATATATCAAAACACCATTTGTCTACCATAAGTAGATATAATTTACATTTATCAATTTTTAAAAATTAAATACCCCCATATTAATTCCATAATTGCAGGAGGCTGTAGATGTTCTCCAACAGAAAATAAGCTACATGAAGATTTGAAGGTAATTCTCAAAAGTCAGAACATCCTCAATCATCACTAATTTGTCTTAGAGAAAAATCAGACCTGTCATCCATGAACATAAAGCTAATTGTTTTGAAACCCCCTAGTACTTTCCATCTATATCATTTCTTAGAATAATAATATCTATACACTTCTGGAAATAGAACTCTCCTTTGTCTTCAAGTATATAGAGGCCTTCCTCCTCCCAGGGGTTTATAAGTTCCTGTTCTCCCTTTACAAACAAACCATGTGCCCACTAAGGCTTCATTTCTGTCACCTGAAGAGACATCATTCATTTATGCTATCCTCTACCAACTATTGACGGCCTCAGACTTCCATAACTGGGCTAGAGGACCAGACTCCCATATGTCCCCATGGGCCAATGGTGGTACTGACCAGCAGTAACCAGCAGTGCCAGGCTGAGCTGGTGCAGCATGTCCCATCCCCCACCCCTAGCATGCTAGTTAATTGAAGGGATGATGATAATGACACAGACTTCAATTCACATGAAAAAATTCAAAAAAGATTCATGATGGAGCTAGTAAGAGACCAGATTCCATGGCAGGGCTATGCCCCCACAGACAGGAAGCTTGGTTAGTGCTCTATAAATACTCTACTTCAGCATCTCCCTAATAGCATTCTTGCTATGTTTTTTACGCTTTTGTTTGTTCTTTAATCAGTGCAACATATGAAGCTACTAAAGAATAAGACCAATAATCAAGTGTTAAAATAGTGATTCAGATTCTAAGCACAGTAAGTGGTCAAAAAAGAGCTCTCTTGGCGAGCTGGTGGCTGCTTGAAACTGCTTCAATAACAGCTGTTAAGAACAGCTTTAAGGAACAGCTGTGCTGGAACAGCAAGAAGGACCCAAGATTCAGAGCCCCATGATGCTCTTTGGTATAACATGATAGAATAAGATTTTTAAGTCCTCCCTCATATGGGATGGCTATCTGTCTTACTTTACTACCTTACCTACTATAGAGTGAGTGTTTGTGTCCCCACAAAATTCATGTTGAAATCTTAACTCCCAATGTGATGGTATCTGGAGGTGGAGTGGGGCCTTTGGTATATTATTATGTCATCTAAGGCTCCACCTTCACAAATGGAATGAGAATAGTGACCCACATAAAAGAGACCTGAGAAAATTCCTTTGCCCCTTCTGCAATGTAAGGACACAGCAAGATGACACCCATGTCTGAACAAGGAAGCAGGTCTTCAGCAGATATGAATCTTCAGAGCTTGGTTTAGGACTTCCAGACTCTAGAACTGTGTGAGACACAAACTTCTCTTGTTTTAAACCACACAGTCTATGGTAGTTTGTGATAGCAGCCCAAAACAGGACCAAGACTCTAACCCTCTAGAGCACAATTAACCCACCCCATAAGACAGTTTCAAAATTCTTTTTTTT